AGAAAATCCCAAAAGAAAATACTTTCATCTTATTTCTACTCTTTCACACACTACGCACATTATCACGTTTTTGCAGACGAGTGCTCAGAAATACAAACAGTCTGAAGCATAAACATATAAAGATACACACATATCTCCAACTGCCAATTCCCATACCCTTCCTTTAAAGTGCAGCATTTGGAATTCCATTTCAGGACCTCAAGTCCGAACTATATGTGAAAAAATAACGGTTTCCCTGAATACCTTCACTAAATATTACCCTGCTCACACTCAACAGATCGTCAGGTACCAGTACACATTCGTCTCCATTCACTCCTGTCTAACACGCTCACGCACGCTTGCTGGAAGTCCAAGCCCCTTACCACAAAACTCCTTTACCCCTCTCTCCAACCCTTTCGAGGACGGACCCCTACCCCGCCTTTCCTTCCCCTATAGATTTATATGCTTTCCCATGTCTTTCTACTGTGATCCATTCTCTCTAAATGACCTAAACCACCTCAACAACACATCTTCTGCCTCCTGACTATATTTTATTAACTCAACACTTCTCCTAATGTTCCACACTCGACATTTTCTGCTAATATTTACCACCCACACATTGCCTAAACAGGACATTCTCGCTGCTCCAACCGTCTCCTCGCTGCTGAATTTACACCAAGCTTCACACCCATATAAGATTGTTGGTACTACTATACTTTATTACATTCCCTTCTTTGCCTCCCATAGATAACGGTTTTTTGTCTCCAATATACTCCCCTCGCCCCACTCCCACCTTTTTTCCCTCACTCAATTCTATGACTTACCTCATCCTTCATAAATCCATCCGCCGGACACGTCAAATCAAGTATCTGAAATCATTCACCCCCCCCCCCCCCCCCCCCCCCCCCTCTTCTTCCATACTCCTCCTCCCCATTTGATATCCATTTTTTCTTTATCGTAAATCTTTTGAAACCCCCACCCCACCCCCCCCCCCCCCCTCCCCCCCCCCCCCCCCCCCCCCCCCCCCCCTCATCACCTTATCTTTTCTATGTTCACTTTCAAACTTTCTAACTTTACACACTTTCCCAAGACTCATCCATAACCTTTGAATTTTTTTCTTTAGATTCTCCCATAAGCACAGTATCATCGCAAAAAGTAATGTGTCATTCCCATTTGAATTTGATCCCCATAATTTAATCCACCCTTCCCAAAAACCCTTGCATTTTACTCCTTTCCAACCCCATCTTTAAATATATTAAACAGAACATGGTGACATTTCTCATACAATGTCTCAAGACCTTCTGTCTTTCTCGGGAAGTGTCTACCTCTCTCTTCTAACACACCATAACCTGAGCTCACTATCCTCATTGAATAACTTTTACAGCATTTAATAACTTACCACCTATTCATATACTTGCATACATCTGCCCATGCTCCTCTATCACACTCTATCATATGCCTTTTCTAATCCATAAATGAAAATAAAAATTCCCTATCTTTTCTAAATACTGTTTCACATATCTGCTTCAAGTTAAACACTGATCTACCACATCCCTACCCCACTCTTAAACCTCCTTGCTCACCGCAATCCTATTTCTTGTTTACCTCTAATTCTTTCAATTAAACCCTACCGTACCACTTTTCCTGGTATATCCGTAAGGCTTATTCCTCTATATTTTACAGTCTCTTTGTCCCCTTTCCCTTTTTTAAAGGGAACCTATACATGCTCTTCTGGCCAATCCCTAGGTACCTTCACCCTCCTTTCATTACATTATTAACAAAAGTACAACCTACTCAACACTATATCCCCCCTGCTTTTAACTTTTCTGTCATGAATCCCATCAGTTCCAGCTGTGCTTTACCCCCTTTTCATTTTACGTCTAATGCCTCTCGTACCTCCCCCACACTACATTATGCTCTTCTTCACTCCTAAAAGATGGTATACCTCCTGACCAGTGCATGTAAATACTGCCTCTGTTTCTCCTTATATTTTAAAAGTTCTCATAATATTCTCGCAATCTCCCAATACCTCATCTCCCCATTACTAATCCCGCTACTCTGTTTTTAACTGACAAATCCATATTTTCCCTAGCCTTTCTTAACTTGTTTACTCACTCCAAAATTTTTTCTTATTTTCATTTAAAATTATTGACGTGCTCTCCCACTCTATCATCTGCTATCCCTTTGCACTCTCTCACCACTCTCTTTACCCTTTCTTTTACTCTCCATATACTTGCTCTTTCTTATATACACTTCTGCTTTGTAAAAACCCTCTATAAGCTACCTTTTTCTCTTTTATCACAACCTTTACTTCATCATTCCTCCAATCACTTCCTCCTTTCCTCCTGCCCCCACCCTCCTATAACCACAAACTTCTGCCCCACATTCTAATTACTGCATTTTTTTAAAAACTATTCCCAACCCTCTTCAACCCCCCACTACTCATCTTCTGCACTTGCCACCTTTCTGCCAATAAGTCGCTATATATCACCCGAACTTCCTGCCTCCCTTAGTTTTATATCATCTTTTCAATTCCCTCTTAATTGTTGTTCGCCCACCTTCCTTTTTCAATCTAACTCTTACTATAACTTAGCTACATAACTAAATTATGATCCGATATATCAAGTTGACCTATTTTAAACATGTAACTTCCTGGAAGTCTACCCATCAACCTTTTATCCACCAATACATTAATCTAATAAACTACTTTAGTACGTGCTACTTCATACCTTGTTTATTTTTTTATCTACTTTTTCATAATTTATGTATTTATCATATTACCAATTTTCTTTCTGCACATAGGACTCAAATTAAAGGCTCCATTTTTCATTTAACCCTGGCTCCCATATTTAATCCCTACTACTCCTCCATAAACATTTTTACCACTTTAGCATTAAAATCCCCAACACCATTTCTCTCAATACTTGAGTCACTCTAATACTCCCACACGCATTTTCTCTCAACATTTCCAAAATTATCTCTCTCTCCTTATACTTTCCCCCCCTCCCACCTCCCCCCCCCCCCCCCCCCATCCCCCCCCACCCCCCCCCCCCTTCTCCAGGTCCCAGACCAGTGATACCAGCTTATTATAACCACTTTTCACATCCTATCTTTATTTTACTCCACAATAATCCTTGAATTAATACATTTATAGTCCCTCTTTTCCTGCCATAGCTTATCCTCTCAACATTATTGTACTCCTTCTTTAGCTCTAACTCTATTGAAAACCAAGACCTAATCATTTATTCCTCTACACTGAAACTCTCCACCCTTCGTTTGTTTCACTTAAACGCCAGGACATCCAGCTTCTTTCATCATTTCTAACAGCCCCATCATCTCTTTCTTATCATCTGCACAACATCCACGCACATTCAAGACTTCCACTTTGACAATTTTCTTCCTCTTCTTATTCTTTTTAGTAATTCTTTACAGGAAAACGGTGGTTACTAAGCCCTTTGTTCCGGCATTTTAGTTGACTTTTACAACACGCATGGCTTCGCGAGAATGATTTCTTATTCCACTTCCCCATGGATATACAAAGGAAAATAACTATGGACCCCAGAACTATTAAGATAAATCAAAGAAAACTCAGATGAGTGTGTATAAATAAATGTGTACATGTATGTGTAGTGTGACCTATGTGTAAGTAGATGTAGAAGACATGCTGTAATCTTGCCATATTTATCAGGAGAAAAAGAGTAGCTTTGAGAGGTTTTTTACAAAGCAGTAGTGTTAGAAGAGCAGAGTATATGGTGAGTAAAGAAAGCCCCCCCAACAGTGAAGAGAGTGGTGAAAGAGTGCAATAGGTAGAGCAGATGATAGTGGGAGAGGCACTGTCAAGAAATTTTATGATAATAAGAAAAAAATTTGGCATGAGCGAGTTAAACAAGTTCAAGAAAGCCTATGGAAAGTATGGATTTGTCAGTTACACACTATAGTAGGGAATTAGTAGGAAGGGGAGGAAAGGAAAGGGAGGTATTGGGTAGATGGCGAGAATATTTTGAGGAAAATTTATAATGTTGAGGAGAAAGGGAGGTGGTGATTTTCATGATGGCCAGGGAGGTATACCATCTTTTAGGTAGTGTAGAAGAGCAGGATTTTCGTGTGGTCGAAGTACGTGACGGCATTTACATAGAATGAAAGGGGGGGTTTTAAGCAGATGGGAACTGATGGGATCATGACAGAATGTTTTTAAATGGAGGGGCTGTGAGTTTTGGGTGATATAGGACGGACTGGGATAGGTTGACTATGGGGGTATAAATCTGGGGTGGAAGGTAGAATGGGGAGAGGTTGTTCCAGGAATAGTTGGAAGGAAGGGGCTTGAGCAGGCAGCAGGCTTGTGTGAGCATATTACATAGGAGTGAATAATGACACGAGTGGTGGTTAGTGGACGTGCTATTGGAATGTGAGCAGGATAACTTTTACAAAGGAATTCACAGCAGCTGGTTAGGCAGATTATTCCTGGAGATGGAAAGGGGGGGGGATGCAGTTGGAGGCGTAATCTTTTTGGAATATCAGCACACTTATGGAAAGATGGCAAGTGAGTGAATGTTTTGTTTGTCTTGCATTAGGTAATGCAGTAAATTTTTGTTCAGTCTTCGTGTGAACAAAATTTTGGGTGACCCTTATCTCTTTTAATATGGTTGGTGTACCATAATAGTATATTGAGTACCAGTTCAGACTTGAGGGTGTGCTTTCATTAATTAATAGTGAAATTAAATTAAATACTTTGCTTGGCATGTTTTTGTATATCCATCTTGGCTTTAATTTGTATTTACGTAAGACTTGTTTAGGCAAGTCATGTTCTGCCAAAACTTAGTTGTAATTACACATTTGAGTCCGAGGGAAGTAGACTGAGCATGAGTTCTTGATCCCACCTCAACATTTGACACTTAAATAAGGTAGCTTTTTTTTTTTTCTCTCTCCTTTTGAACCTCTTTATGTAGTCTGCTTCCAGTATGTAATTAATTGGCTGTCAAGTTCTTTAGATAATGCACTAATTGCTTTTTTTTTATAAACAGGAAAAAGAAACTAGCCTGAAAGAGCTTCAGATTTATCTGAGCCAGCAGGTCAACGAGGGTGCTAGTGTCAAGGACATTATAGTAGGTGTGCAGGAGATTGCAAAAAAGAACAGCATCCAGGAGCCTCAGATAGTTTCTGCTGTAAGTTATTTTTGTTTTCTAATTTACATAATAGATATTTGTTAGCAGTACATGTTCTTTGCAAGCATTGTGTTCAGAATTAATGCTTTACATTTTGCAATAAATTTTGTTTACCCATCCTCTTTCATTGTGTATACAAATTTATTGCCACCTTCATTATTTCCTATTTGATTTTATCTTCTGTTTCCCAGATGGCTTCCTATTTGCTTTTAGCCTTTAAGCAGGGAAGGAGTGCTCTTGATACTAGGAATTGGTATCAAACCTATTTAATGCCCATTGCCAGGCACTGAATGTCACTTATTGGTTTAGTGCATCCCAAGTAATATAATGAACACAATAATTCACTTTTAGAGCAAGTTTATTATTTTTATTTCTGCAGATTTGGTCAAGTGTAATGGATGCAGTGGAATGGAACAAAAAGGAGGAGCTAGTAGCTGATCAAGCACTGAAGCATTTACGTGTGTATGCTCCTTTGTTTGCTGCAAACACAAAAACAGACCGTGCAGAGCTCACCTTGCTGGTTAAAGTTCAAGAGTTCTGTTATGACAACATGAACTTCATGAAGGTGTTCCAAAAAATAGTCATCCTCTTCTACAAATGTGAGTGAATCTTTGCTTTCAGAATAATTTTTGTCGGACACACTGGTGTTACCCACAGAGGTAGTCTGACCAAACATTGGATACACTTCAAAGTTGGCATTTTAAACCAATAATATGGTCAGTTTTTTTTCTTGTTATGCACGGTGTTGCAGGATTTTTTTATTCTGTGCACACTGACCACACAGATGCATTCTCTCACATGTAGGTCTACCAGCCTTCTCCTGCTAGATTTGAAACTGCTAGAATTTTGGCATATTAATACGGCACCAACACTGGCTTGTAAGCCGTACTAATACGACACCAACAGTGAAAGGATTAATTTTTTTTTTTAACAAGTCGGCCATCTCCCACCGAGGCAGGGTGACACAACAAAGAAGAAATCCCCAAAGTGAGAATACTTTCATCATTCAACACTTCCACCTCACTCACATATAATCACTGTTTTTGCAGAGGTGCTCAGAATACAACAGTTTAGAAGCATATGCGTATAAAGATACACAACGTATCCTTCCAAACTGCCAATATCCCAAACCCCTCCTTTAAAGTGCAGGCATTGTACTTCCCATTTCCAGGACTCTAGTCTAGCCATATAAAAATAACCGGTAGTAGGTTGATAGACAGCAACCACCCAGGGAGGTACTACCGTCCTGCCAAGTGAGTGTAAAATGAATGCCTGTAATTGTTTTACATGATGGTAGGATTGCTGGTGTCCATTTTTCTGTCTCATAAACATGCAAGGTTTCAGGTATGTCTTGCTACTTCTACTTACTTTGATCACACTACACATGTACAAGCATATATATACATACCCCTCTGGGTTTTCTTCTATTTTCTTACTAGTTCTTGTTCTTGTTTATTTCCTCTTACCTCCATGGGGAAGTGGAACAGAATTCTTTCTCCGTAAGCCATGCGTGTTGTAAGAGGCAACTAAAATGCTGGGAACGAGGGGATAGTGACCCCTTCTCTTGTATATATTACTAAATGTAAAAGGAGAAGCTTTCGTTTTTCCTTTTGGGCCACCCTGCCTCGGGATGCGGCCTGTGTGTTGAAAGAAATAAAGATTACAGGTACGTCTTGCTACTTCTACTTACACTTAGGTCACACTACACATACATGTACATGTTTGTTTATACACACTCATCTGAGTTTTCTTATGATTTTATCTTAATAGTTCTTGTTCTTATTACTTTTCCTTTTATATCCATGGGGAAGTGGAATAAGAATCTTTCCTCCCTAAGCCATGCGTGCTGTAAGTCAACTAAAATGCCGGGAACAATGGACTAGTAACCCCTTTTCCTGTAATAGTTACTAAAAACTAAAAAAAAAAAAAAAGGGTTAAATATTTTAGTAATTTGTGATTAACTAGTTATTTTCAAGCTAAATTTTCAGTATAGTGAACTGTTAATATGGAGAGGAGTCAATACTGTTGAACTGCTTTGTAAGCTGTTGGATTATAATTTAGGCCAGCATGATCCTCAGTATTTCTGTCTTAAGCAACTGTTAAATAGGAAGTTTGTTTATGGTAGAACAAAGTTTTCAGAGATAAAAATTAAAAATTGGTTATGTTTGTTCAGCTTTTAAGGAAAGTAAAGATTTTATTTTAAGTATTTAGTTTTTAACTAGTACTTAATTATTATTAGCCTAAATATTTTTTTTTTTTTTACAATGGTGAAGATTGTCATTTTCTTAATATTTCGGGTTACCTGAATAGTGTAATAAAGTATTCACCTGCCTTTTATTATGTATTAATGGATTTTATGTACCTCAGGAACGAATTGTAACCTCAAGAGTTGTTCGAGGTTATGATGCTTGCATGTGAATCTAATTGTGCTCTTGCTTTTGAATTATTCACTTTTTGAACAGCGGAAGTCTTGTCAGAAGAAGTGATTCTCAAGTGGTACAAGGATGGTCATGCAACCAAAGGAAAGTCTATATTCCTGGATCAGTTAAAGAAGTTTGTAGAATGGCTACAAAATGCTGAAGAAGGTTAGTATTCTTAAAATTAGTTCATTCCATGGGTTTGTGAACTGATTAAAATTCTCTTAAATGACAAGCTTATAAATCCTGGATATACAGTAGACCCTCGTATTACACGGTAGTTATGTTCCTGAAAATGCTGTTAAATAAATCCTTGTTATATAGACTGAAGAACTTGTGGAAAAAATAGGGGTATGTTCCTGGGACCCCCCAAAAGCCTAACACTTTTTTTTTCCTTAGACATCCAGATATTACAAAAATAAAAATATTTTTGTTGCTTAAGACTACAGATGCAACAAATATTATTTACCTTAAATTGTGGTTGCTGGTGTATGTCGGTGATTGTGAAGAGTGGAGCTGCATGGTGTGGCCCTACTGGGCTGGGGTGGATGGTTGAGGTTCTGGTACTCAAGTCAATGGTTGTATTGGAGTGTGCATAATTTCTGTAATGGATCTCTGGCTTTTACCCTGCAGTACATTATACATTATTCCAGAAGCTTGGTACTGCCAGGTTGGAGCTAGTCCATTGATGGAACTAGTTTTTCATCACTTTTCTTGTGTAGGTACATTTGAAAGACTTAATAACTCTGATCTAGTGGTTGTATTAAAAATTTTGTATTTGGAGGTAAAAATACAACTTTTACAAGTTACAGCACATCCAACTTTGCTGGATGTTATCCCACATATCAGTACAAAGTGATTTACATTCCTGGTGAGCAGGTCTAGTAAGAACTTGGTCTTATGATACTTGACTGTATATAACTAAAAATAATTGCTTTTATTCCAGTGATTAGTCTTTTCTCCTGATGTAAGATAATTAGTGTAATTGTTATGTCAGTCATTTTATGTACTTAACCCGTTAACTGTCCAAATGTAGATCTACGTTCTTACCACTAGCGCTACTAACATAGATCTACATTTTACTTTTCTTGCCTCCAAATTTGGCACAATTGGCCTGAGATGGCTTGTCAGAATAGGCTGAGTCTTGACACTTGGTGTGTGCAGTATTAAAAAAAAATCTGGGACCACTTAGTACCTTGTGGGAGCACCAGTTCAATTGAGCGCCAGCTACAGCAAACAGCATGGCAAACACCAAGGATTCACTGATGGCGTGTTATATTAACACCCCCCTCCTTTTAAGAAGGAAGTGATGTTGACCACGAGTTTGGTGGCTTTGAAGTAGATATAGCCACAAGTGGTTGCATAAATATCAAAAACCTCGATAATAACCCATGTGTAACATTTGTGCAACACCCTTTCAGTTTTGGTACCACTTTCAGTGCCATCTAAGTAAAAAGAAAATTCTGGAACATGTAATAAGTGTTCGGCAGGCTGGCTGTATCCATCTCTATCTCACAGGTATACATATGTAAATACAATTATCTATGGAGGCAAAGAAGGGAATATATGAAAGTATAGTAGTACCAACACTCTTATATGGGTGTGAAGCTTGGGTTGTAAATGCAGCAGTGAGGAGGCGGTTGGAGGCAGTGGAGATGTCCTGTCAAGGGCAGTGTGTGGTGTAAATATTATTTAGAAAATTAGGAGAAGGTGTGGAGTTAATAAAAGTATTAGTCAGAGGGCTGAAGAGGGGTTGTTGAGGTGGTTTGGTCATTTCGAGAGAATGGATCAAAGTAGAATGACATGGAGAGCATTTAAATCTGTAGGAGAAGGAAGGCGGGGTAGGGGTCGTCCTCGAAAAGATTGGAAGGAAGGGGTAAGGGAGGTTTTGTGGGTGAGGGGCTTGGACTTCCAGCAGGCGTACATGAGCGTGTTCAATAGGAGTGAATGAAGACGAATGGTATTTGGGACCTGACGATCTGTTGGAGTGTAAGCAGGGTAATATTTAATGAAAGGATTCAGGGAAACCGGTTATTTTTTATAGCCAGACTTAGTCCTGGAAATGGGAAGTACATTGCCTGCACTCTAAAGGAGGGGTTTCGGGATGTTAGCAGTTTGGAGGGATATGTTGTGTATCTTTATACGTATATGCTTCTAAACCGTTGTGTTCTGAGCACCTCTGCAAAAAGTGATTGTGTGAGTGAGGTGAAAGTGTTGAATGATGAAAGTATTTTCTTTTTGGGGATTTTTTCTTTCTTTTTGGGTCACCCTGCCTCGGTGGATGGCCGACTTGTTGGGGAAAAAAAAATTATACAGTGTAAATTACCTAGGATAACCCAAAAAATCCAGACAGTGCTATACTGTGCTTGTAAGTAATATAATGCATAATAAACATGACTGGCAACTGGGAAGTAATATGCATTTTCACATGTTTGGGAATCAGACATGATCCTGTGTCATACCAACTGGTTCATGAGCCACTCTGAGACAGACAGGCAGATGGAGAGACAGGCAGATGGAGAGACAGGCAGACGGGGAGACAGGCAGACACAGGCACGCACACAGGCACATGCGTACACGCACGTGCACACGCACGCGCACACACGTGTGCGCGCACACACACACGCGTGCGCGTGCACACACACACACAGACACACACACAGACACACACACAGAACACACACACAGACACACACAGACACACACACAGACACACACAGACACACACACACAGACACACACACACAGACACACACACACAGACACACACACACAGACACACACACACAGACACACACACACAGACACACACACACAGACACACACACACAGACACACACACACAGACACACACACACAGACACACACACAGACACACACACACACAGACACACACACACACAGACACACACACACACAAGACACACACACACACAGACACACACACACACAGACACACACACACACAGACACACACACACACAGAACACACACACACACACACACACACACAGACACACAGACACACAGACACACACACACACACACACACACACACACACACACACACACACACACAGACACACACACACAGACACACACACAGACACACACACACAGACACACACACACACACACACACACACACACACACACACACACACACACACACACACACAGACACACACACACACAGACACACAGACGTGTCTAGACATGTTTGTGTAACAGTGAAAAATATAGCCAGGGTTCCATGCAGCAGTGCATGATCGATCGTCGTGTCACTCCACTGCTTACCCTATCAGCAGTTTACCGACACATGTCATAACACCATGCTTCAAGGAGTTTCATACATTCTCCAGCATGTCTAAAGGGGCCCCTAACATTTTGGCGCACAGAGAAAAAAAAAAATGAGTTATTCTTACCAAAAAATAGGTGAACTTTCTGGCAACACTGGTATAATCATTATACAATGTGTCTACAAGGAATTAGTCATTTATAACATGCATGGTGACAGCGCCTTGCGTAGCATGCGCGCTGTGGCTTTTTTTTTTTTTTTTTTTTTTTTTTTTTTTTTTTTTTTTTTTTTTTTTTTTTTTTTTTTTTTTTTTGTTAAATTCACCGTTTGAGATCATGGCGAAGTGGGCGGTGCTAATGTGGTCTAGGAATCAATCGGGAACATCCCCTGGGATGTCGGACAAACACCAACCAACAAAATGTTCTATACTCCTGCTAATATCAGTTATAAGGCTTGTTTACCTATCACAATTGATCTAATGTGACATAAGGCGATATAATAGCATATAAACAAAAAGTACGCCAGAACAAATACATTGCATATGACGCCTGAGAGGAAAGATCTTAATGGACCAATCCCATCTCAAGGCCATATACCCAGTCTCTAGTCACTATAATGAGAGAAAAGCAAGTAGGTTACGTAAAAAGTGTAAAAGCATGTATTTTTTGGGGGGGGGGGAAATATTTCCCTGTGTACCTGGGCAGCCACGTGTGTTGCCAATTATCTTGGAAGCAAGTTATTTACCTATTTGGGGTCACAGTCATTATTTATGATTGAATTGACCTGATTTTCACAAACATAAAAGAATAATTGCTTTACAAGATGTTCCGTTTTGAAGTATCCCAAACAGTTTTAGATTTGTGTGGGCAACAAGGTCAATATCTTCCTAAATGTCAAAAAACTTAATAAATGTTTATTTTTTTTTTTACCATCTAGATAAGGTTTATTATAGAATTGGTACTTGAGCAATGATGGAATTAAAAGTGTTTTATCAGCAGCAAGTGTCAAAACCATTTTTCTAAATACCACTTCTTACTGGTCCGTCTCCAATGTAATTTTTAGTAAATTTAGCTTTTTTCGTTTGCTTTTTGGCCGATTTTTCTGGAACTTCATCACAAGATGGTCGATATAAGCTTCTAATAGTACAAAAATCAACGTAATAGGTCAACAAATAAAAGGGTCGAATATTTAGTAAAATGTGGCCCCTAAAAACGTTGCTGGAACCTATGAATACTTTGTATATATTCCTCCTCTTCAAGGGGGGCTCCTTGGCATGGTGAAGAGGCTCTTGGTCTGAGGAATTAGACCTGTCGGTCTTCTTCCTCAGACCGAACCTAATTACCCCCCAATCTCCCCTCCCCATCCTCCCCTTTTTCCTTTCCTCCTCCTACTCCTCCCCACCCCTCTCTTTTGCCCTTCCTCTTTTTGGCCTTTGGGATTTCTCCCACAGGCGCTCTAGTTCCTAGGTAGGGGAAAGGATACCGGGGTCCATCCCATTCCGTTGAGGTTCTTGGCGGTGGCGCAGTTTGCCGTGGAATCTGGATCGCCTGGGCATGTCCCGATCCCTCTCCGGTATCCCGGAGTAGCTTTGGGTGTCTTTCGGGCGACGGGTGTATCTCTGGAAGCCACCTTTCGGATTCCGGGGGTGGTGGCCGAAGGAGGTATGCTTTGTGGTGGATATCCGGCCGCCCTCTCTTTTGTCCACCGAGGTAGCTCAGCAGATGTGAGGTTGCTATCCCGGATTGCTGGTTTACTGGCATGAAGGGCAGGGTATGGCACGGGTTCCATGCTGAATCTGCGCTACTAGCGGTGCTGAGGTCCTCTTGGGCGCGGAGGGAGATTTCCGGCCCTTCCATTCCTCCTGGGAACT